TGCAGTTTAGCATTCTCCTGCTGTAAATTTGCAAGGCCTTCCCTGAAAAAGACATTTTCTGGAAGAGAGAATATGCAGCTTTAAAAAAAATGGATATATCGTTCAGCATTGATGGTGTCTTTCCAGATGTGAAAACTGCCCATTCCATATGCACTAATGCACCTCCCATACAATCAGAGATGCAGGCTGGTAACTGATAACAAGCGAGAGGACACAATGCACATGGTTGCAAAACACAAAATTTCAATTCGTCTGACCACAGAACAGTCTTCCATTTTGCAACAGACCATTTTAAATGAGCTTTGGCCCAGAGAAAATGACAGGGTTTCTGGATCATGTTCAGATATGGTTTCTTGTTTGCATAATAGAGCTTTACCTTGCTCTTTGGATGGCAAGGTAAATGGTGTTCACAGACAGACATTATTGCATGGGTTCAAAAATCACTATCACAGAATTATGCCTGTTTTTAATGTAGTGCCATCTGAGAGGCCGAAGATCACATACATCCAAATATTGCATTTCAGTCTTGCCCCTTGCACAGAGATTTCTCCAGATTCTTTTGATATTATATCCTGTCACTGATAATATATACAAATAACCTCACCAGTAACAATGGCGGAAACCAGGCAAAAGGGAGCAGAGTCAAACATTCTCTTCCTTAAAGGCCCACACTACACAATCTCATAGTAATAATGTTTCCCTTGCACCTGAGCAATACTCTATTTTAACACTGGCTTCTGCATCTAATTTTAGGTCTAGCAAAGGCATGCAACAAGCAGGCTACCTGACTAAGGCACACATTTCTGCAACGCTGTCACAATTTCTCAAACAAGTAACAGCTTTAATACAGCCATCACTGCCCAGTGCTCAAAAATACCAGGCTTTTTCTCCAACCCCGCTGTCTCTACCAGTGTCAGATGCTTATATGCATGCCCTAAGAATAGTAGACGAAGAAGAGAATGAAGAGGACAGGGAGACTCTGTTAGAGGAGGCCATGTAAGATTTCCCATGCCTTGGCTCCTATAGATAATGTTATGGCTTCACACAATATGCTTACTAATGCTGATATGCTCACTACTGCTTGTCGCACTTGAATCTCCACCATGCTGCCCTGCCCATTTCCATATAAATTGACCTGCTGAATCAAAAAAGACATTTCCCATTTGTGAACAAAATGGGCAACCTACACTGTATGGGTAAATCCAGAAAAGATTTTCACCCCTCTAAAAATTATTGCCGAGTTTATCCAGTACAAAAAGAGTTCACAAAAAAACTTTTCTGTTGCGGTAGTAGACCCCAGCCATCTGGGTACAGTGGGTATAGAAAAGAACCACCCCTTTTAAATAGTCACATTTTGTTGCTTTGTGACAGTGCAGACCAATCAAAAAGCCCTTTAGCCAGACCTGCAAAGAGGAGAGAAAGCAGGGGGGATTTTTGAAAAACCCTGCCGCTTTCTCTCCTCCCACTGAGAATATGGAGCATCTGCTTCCATAGTATACAGGTGAAACTCAAAAAATTTGAATATCATGCAAAAGTTCATTTATTTCAGTAATGCAACTCAAAAGGTGAAACTAATATACGAGATAGACTCATTACATGCAAAGCAAGATCGTTCAAGCCGTGATTTGTCATAATTGTGATGATTATGGCTTACAGCTCATGAAAACCCCAAATCCACAATCTCAGAAAATTAAAATATTGTGAAAAGGTGCAATATTTTCGGCTCAAAGTGTCCCACTCTAATCAGCTAATTAAGCCATAATACCTGCAAAGGGTTCCTGAGCCTTTAAATGGTCTCTCAGTCTGGTTCAGTAGGAATCACAATCATGGGAAAGACTGCTGACCTGACAGTTGTGCAGAAAACCATCATTGACACCCTCCATAAGGAGGGAAAGCCTCAAAAGGTAATTGCAAAAGAAGTTGGATGTTCCCAAAGTGCTGTATCAAAGCACATTAATAGAAAGTTATGTGGAAGGGAAAAGAGTGGAAGAAAAAGGTGCACAAGCAGCAGGGATGACCGCAGCCTGGAGAGGATTGTCAGGAAAAGGCCATTCAAAAGTGTTGGGGACTTTCACAAGGAGTGGACTGAGGCTGGAGTCAGTCCATCAAGGGCCAACACACAGACGGATCCTGGACATGGGCTTCAAATGTCATATTCCTCTTGTCAAGCCACTCCTGAACAACAAAACGTCAGAAACGTCTTACCTGGGCTAAAGAAAAACAGACCTGGTCTGTTGCTCAGTGTTCCAAAGTCCTCTTTTCTGATGAGAGCAAATTTTGCATCTCATTTGGAAACCAAGGACTCAGAGTATGGAGGAAGAATGGAGAGGCACACACTGCAAGATGCCTTAAGTCCAGTGAGAAGTTTCCACAGTCTGTGTTGATTTGGGGAGCCATGTCATCTGCTGGTGTTGGTCCACTGTGCTTCATTAAGTCCAGGGTCAACGTAGCCATCTACCTGGAGATTTTGGAGCACTTCATGCTTCCTTCCGCAGACAAGCTTTATGGGGATGCTGACTTAATTTTCCAGCAGGACTTGGCACCTGCCCACACTGCCAAAAGCACCAAAACCTGGTTCAATGACTGTGGGATTACTGTGCTTGATTGGCCAGCAAACTCTCTATGGGGTTCAGGTCAGGTGAATCTATGGGGCATTGCCAAAAGAAAGATGAGAGACATGAGACCGAACAATGCAGAAGAGCTGAATGCAGCTATTGAAGCATCCTGGTCTTCCATAACACCTCAGCAGTGCCACAGGCTGATAGCTTCCATGCCACGCCGCATTGAGGCAGTAATTGCTGCAAAAGGGGCCCAAACCAAGTACTGAGTACATATGCATGCTTATACTTTTCAGAGGTCCGATATTGTTCTATGTACAATCCTTGTTTTATTGATTGCATGTAATATTCTAATTTTCTGAGATTGTGAATTTGGGGTTTTCATGAGCTGTAAGCCATAATCATCACAATTATGACAAATCATGGCTTGAACTATCTTGCTTTGCATGTAATGAGTCTCTCTCATATATTCGTTTCACCTTTTAAGTTGCATTACTTTAATAAAAATGAACTTTTGCACGATATTCTAATTTTTCAAGTTTCACTTGTATATCACCACATGCCCACTCTCCGCTGGGTGAAACCTCCTTGACAGCCTGGGTTCACACAGGCGCAGTGGGGTAACTGCATGTGATTTGGACAGGAATCAAATTCCTGTTCAAATCGCATGCTATTCATTGCAGTGCAATTTGCGTACATACATTTTGTGTTGATGCATATCGCACCACAAATTATCGGTAATCGGTACTGGCAAGTACTTGACCGAATGTATCATTTATACTCGCGGATTAAAGGAGAAAAAAAAAAAAAAAAGAAGTGTGTATCGGTGCATCCCTAAATATTAAGCGGATAATCTACTAGAACACCCAGATCCTTCTCCGCCATTGTTTCACCCAGTTGTACTCACCCTAGTATGTATGATGCATGCATATTCTAAGCCCCCAAGTGCATAACTTTACATTTATTAACATCAAACCTCATTTGCCACACAGTTAAATAGTGCATTGAGTTGGAGACATCCTGTAAGGGTGTTATTCCACTGCACAGCTTGGCGTCACCTGCAAAGATTGAAATTGTACTTTTACAGACCCTATACCATCTTTAAATATATTGAAAAGTAAGGATCCCAATACTGAACCGAGGGGTACAATTAAAATTGCAACTGCCATAATTACATTGTGGAGGGCATCTGCTTTCAGAAAATATGTAATGAAAGGCTTTAAAGTAGAACTAAAATGCAAACACTTTTTTTCCCCCATAGTTTTGGCTTAGATTGGAGAGGGATTAAGACATCTGTCAGGTTTTTATAGAGATCTGTAAGCCTGTTAGGGAGTCACCCTCTCTATTTGTCCTGTATACTATTGTCATATGTGACAAGTGATAGTAAAATAAAATCCCAAATCTTGGACTATCCCCAGAAAACAGTAATAGAGGGGAAATCTTCCAATGGGGACACTAGTTCTGGTGACACTGGTCAATTTGCAGCAACTTCCTCTCACTTTCTGTTTTGGCTATAGGACAGGAAGTAAAGGATAATCTCCCCAATGGAACACAGATGGCGCAAAAAAAAAAAAAAAAAAAACTAAGCGTGGGTTAAAACCACTGTCACTCTATCCAAAAGGGAAAAAAAAAACACTTTTTCCTTTAGTTCTACTTTAAGTAATTTTCTAGCTAAAAATACAAATTTTTAACAAGTGTGGAAGAAATGTAAAAAAAAAAAAAACTGCCCGGACGCGAAGTTGTTCATTGATTGCTTATACATTTACTGTTGGACATACTGCATAAGACGTGATTGTTTTCTTCCAATATTTTCAGAAAAGAAAAATTGCATTGCACAAGGAAAGGACAAAGCAGACAAGCAGCATGATATTTATTTGGTGTTGCCATAGTTGGTGTCCATCTTAAAAAAATATATATTTGTTGGACACAAATGTTGCAGTAGTAGCGTACGGGTATTCTAAACAGACTCTCTATCGAGGTACATACATCTTTATGACTACACTGAAAGACCAGTGCGTCCAGTTAGACTAGAAACAGGCCAAGAAAACATCTCACTATGATTAGAAGAAAAACACAATCAAAGATTCTCATGATAAGAATTATTAACTAACAGATTCCATATACTGTACACACAGCACCCAGCTGGTAGCCAAGTATTGAGAATTACATCTCTAATATTACACACAAGTGATTAAGTCAAAATGCTGTACATCATTATTAACCATGTTTGTCCTAGTAAAAACAAAAATTCATTAAGTATACTTTGGGGGAAAACATCATAAGAAGGGGGGCTCTAAATGTAATCAATCATACATTGAAAATTATAATTGTATCAAAACCCGATTTCAATCACAGTTGTGTACAATTCTGTCAAGACACTGAAATTGCACTTTGACAATTACTGTCACAGTCCTTTGTATGACCCCAGTGATGATCTGTAGCTCAAAGTTTGTCCTCTGGCCCCTTTTTGCGAGAGTGTTTGTACTTGTCCACATACGCCTTAACAAGATTTGCCACTTTAGCTGAATCAACTTCTCCACTTTTACTGTGACACACCTAAAAAAAAAAAAAAAAAGACCAATACGTATTAATCCTACAGAATATGTAGTTATGTTTTTGGATTACAGAAGAAACATATTCCCCTTAAAAAGTTAACACAGCAATGCTAATAAACTGTTTTGTCTGTAAATTTCCACACAACTAAGCTTTACAACATGTTCCTATCTGGCAGTTTTCAGGAACAATGATATATAATTTATATAGTAGCACATAGAGCTAGTAAAGCAACAGTTTAGATTGGAAAATAGTTCAAAGAGCAGCTTGTGGAAATCAGTTTCTTTCTATATTAGAATGCATTCCTGCTGCTTACAATGTGACTTACGGGAAACCTATTCCATTAAAAACGCTTTATTTTATGTGCTGAACCATAAAAAATAAAAATCCTTACATACATCCTGTCCTTGTGCAACAATACTGCTCTTCCAATGTTACAGTAGGGTGAGCACTGTTTTCCTGGGACAGGAACCGTGTTACTGGCAGGATTACAAGGTGAAATAAAGATAACTTTCAGAGATCTAATGTGCTTCCAATGTAAATCCTACTTATCTAAGCTTGCCAGCACTCACAATCTGTTATGCACAATAAGTAAACCATACAGTACAATAACTGCAGCAATCTAATCACTCCCTATATTACATATAGTCAAAATGAATCCAAAATTACAAATACAGTTAGGTCCATATATATTTGCACGCAGGCACAATTTTAGTTTGTCAGGTATTTACCAAACCATATTTAAGCTATAGTTATATAATGGATATGGGCAGAAAGTGCAAACACTCAGGTTTAATTAGAGGGTATGTACATCCAAACTTGAGGAAGGATTTAGGAATTACAGCGCTTAAGAGTAGCCATCCCCCTTTTTCAAGGGACCAAAAGTAGATGGACAAATTAATATAGTCATAAATAAAATGTTCCTTTATAATATTTTGTTTAGAATCCTTTACTGGCAACAACTGCCAGAAGTCTGGAACCCATGGACATTACCAAAGACTGGGATTCCTCCTTTCTGATGCTTAGCCAGGCTATAACTGCAGCGGTCTTCAGTTGTTCTTGGTTTGTGGGTTTTTCTGCCTTCAGTTTTGCCTTCAGCAAGTGAAATGCATGCTCATTTGGGTTGAGATCAGGTGATTGACTCGGCCATTGCAGAATATTCCACTTCTTTTCCTTCAAAAGCTCCTGGGTTGCTTTTGCAGTGTGTTTTGGATCATTGTCCATCTGTACTGTGAAGCGCTGTCCAATCAACTTTGCAGCATTTGGCAGAATCCGGGCTGACAGTATATCTCTAAACACTGCAGAATTCATCTGGCTGCTTCTGTCACATCATCAATAAACACCAATGACCCAGTGCCACTGGAAGCCATGCATGCCATCACACTGCCTCCACCATGTTTTAAAGATGACGTTGTGTGCTTTGGATCATGAGCTGTTCCAAGCCTTCTCCACACTTAGTGGATTAATCTTAGTTTCATCCTTTCAAAGAATGCTTTTCCAGAACTGGTCTGGCTTTTTTTTTTTTGTTTTGTTTGGCAATGTCGAATCTGGCTTTACTATTCTTCAGGGCTTATGAATGGTTTGCACCTTGTAGTGAACACTCTGTATTTGCTCTTGTGAAGCCTCTCTTGAATGTAGACTTAAAGTGTCCAAAACTCAGAGTGTGATTCTTCTTTATCTCCCCTCTCTTTCCACATAGGTCACTGAAAAGACTTAAGCGGACACAAGAGCTACCTGGGAGATGTTCCACACTCCCCTACAGCACCACAGCAGGTGACTTATAGGGATGGACTTACTAAAGGCAAATATACGGCACTTCACAAATGCAGTTGTGCTCATCTCTTCCCAGAGCTTAGAGAATGTGGTAAAGCTCTGCTAATTTCCATCATCCAATCATGTGCAAGGGGCACAAAATGAGTGCAACTGCACAGTCTATTTGCCTTTAGCAAATCCACTTCATAGCCTCAAGCTCTGTAAGTTTTTCTAAGAGCTTGAGAACAAGGGTGTGTTCCCTTTCCCTCCACACCATCAGGGAACTAAGCTCACTGCTCTAAGCTCTGCAGTGTGTCAGGTTCCCACCCCCTGGTTCCTACACATAAGATATGCTGTGTAAAATGTGTTTCACAGAAGACTGTAAAAAAAAAAAAAAAAAAAAAAAAAAAGGAGAAGAGCTGGATGCAGATAAACAGGTACAACTAAGGGCCCTTTCACACTGACTTTATCCATTCAGTCATGTTTTTTTCAAACAAAAAACAATTGTTTATACATTAGTATTCAGTTCAGTTTACCTCAGGTCATGTATCTTGCATAAAAATGGACAAACAGAATGGATGCAAACTGAAGGCATCTGTTTACAGCCATTCCGTTTCAATGGGTCTGGACGTTGGCAGTTCCATTTAAAAAAAAAAAACCTGAATGGACATGGATGTAGGTGGATGTAATTGGATGTCCAACCTTTTACATCCACCCACCCATAGAAATGCATTTTGGTTCAGTCTGGATCCATCTTAAAAACTGGACACTATGTTTGAGACATACTGAGAGTCTGAGCAGACTTCTCTCCCAACAGGTCATCCTCTAGATATCCCACCATGGGGATGTGCTGCAATTGCAGCAAAACAAGCACAGGAGTAAGCACCTTAGAGAAACTTGAGGTGCAGTGGAGAGTCCAAAGGGAATGGCAATGAACTGGCTGTGAAACAGATAAAATAAATAAGATCCTCCTGCGCTCTTATGCAAGACAGAAAAGAAATATATAAAGAATAGATATTAGACCGCAGCTAGCATCCCATCCTATACCATATAGGTCTAAAATAATATAAACATAATAATAATGCAGCGCTGATAAAATAAACAATATACAAACAGTATAAAAAACAAATAAAACATTCAAAGAATGGGGGTCAGACCTTATAAATAATTACAAAGAATGTGCCCCCAATCCACATGGGGATATAATAATCGTGACCTCCCCAGTGTCTAGCTGAGACATAACATAAATGTGAATCCTTAATAAGGGATTAAAAAACACTTGGACTGCTTTGCCACTAATATGATGTGTGTCTCACCAAGACTCAGTGTAGTGATCTTCCAATACATGCACGATGCAGGTACCCTCACTGTGAACAACAAAGAAATGGCTGCAATGGCCTCTCACCCTCCACTTCATGACCCACAAAGCAAGAATAAAACTCTCCTCTGGATCCTCTGAGAAACCACTCTAGTATCTGGATGATGTCAGCAGTCAGTCCCTAATTCGTGAATCCACTGAACCAGTCAATAGGCAGCTTATCACTCTCATAGAAATCATATGCCCATAGAACAGAGAGAGAATACAATCTCCATAATGTAAAACTGTTTAATGGCATATAAAATCAAGAAAAACAAAATGCACTCACATAGATGTCGCTTGCATCAGGTAGAGATCATATCAAGGTAAAATGCAATGTGCACTATGTATATCATATATCAAGGTAGAATCCAATGTGCACTATATAGATCATGTATCAAGGTAGAATCCAATGTGCAAGGTGCTCTGCATGAAAAAAGCGCTAGTAGGTTTTCAAAAATGGCGCCACGCCGGAAGTACGTCACCCGTGAATGCCAATGGCTATATAGTGCACATTGGATTCTACCTTGATATATGATATACATAGTGCACATTGGATTTTACCTTGATACATGATCTATATAGTGCACATTGGATTCTACCTTGATATATATATATCCCCATGTGGATTGGGGGCACATTCTTTGTAATTATTTATAAGGTCTGACCCCCATTCTTTGAATGTTTTATTTGTTTTTTTATACTGTTTGTATATTGTTTATTTTATCAGCGCTGCGTCATTATTATGTTTATATAATGAACTGGCTGTGTTGATGAGCTGGAAAGAAAAGGACATACAAGAAGGAAACATTGATGTCCACAATATGAACCATAATGGTATATTTAAGCATAGGAGTTGCCAGACTGAACCTCCTCGGGCACAAAATCATTCAATGAGGAAAGATTACACTCGTTGCCATCCTCAGCTAATTGTGCAGAAGCAGTTGCAGGAATATCAGAGATGGACTCGGAAGGAGAGGCATAGGTTTATGCTCATGGCTACCATATTCTGAGTCAGCTTCCACGGCAGGGATTTATTGAAATAAAATCTGACATAGCCACAGAAAAGAAAGCCATGCCTAGTGGAGCTAGAGAAAAGTAGCATGTAGACTCAAGCAGGGGACAACAGTCCAGGCTATTGGTGTGAGTTTCTTAAGGAACAGAGCAAGTCACCCTAGAGTTACAAGTGGATTGTGAGCTGGCAAGGTGTTTACTCTTCCCCTAGTGTGTAAGAGTAAAAACCCCAGAAAAGGGTAGTCACAAATTAGCTGCTGAAGCAGGAGAGGTTATATAAAATAGTCTGTGACTGAGCCACTGTTAGGCAGCAGCAAAGACAACTGACTCAGAATCATCGCTAGCAGCCAGTGTTGAATCTGAAGCTGAAGGCAGGAGAGGCAAAGAAACTGAACGCAACCAGCTGTATGCTGTGCAGCTCTAGCACCCAGGACATGTACACACACAGGCTGGTGTGACAAGAATATACAGGGTATGTGCAACACATTTGAAAAAAACAAAACAAAATCAGAGTAATTTCTTAGAGTACATGTGTCACAAAATGCATCACAGCAGAAATCTGAGAATTGGGGGGCAGAGCAAATGTTAATGTATTGCAGTACAATCTCTAGGCTAAACCAGATGTAACATCCAGGTTCCACATTAAATCGTAAAGCCCTAGTACTAGCTGCAGCTGTGGGTCTGGAGAGTACTCTACGGAAAGCGAACACAAGGTACTGGAAAGGACCTAGCGAATCTGTCATATTCCAGTCATGTTATGCCCCTCAAGTGGGTATACTCCCAAAAGAGTCTTCAGTATTACACCAAAGGTTGTATCACAGTTCTGGACCTGACCTGAGAAGCTCTGCAGCTAACACAGTACACCAGGTGTCTACAGAGTGCCACTGGCTGGATATGGTGCTCTGCAGCTAACAGTGACTTAACTGGAGAAAAAAATGATTAAAAAGGGGAAGAAAAAAAAAAAAAAAAAAAAAAAAAAGTAAAACGTGTTTGCTTTTTTCTGAGAAGCAAAGACATCCATTCTCCCAGGTCACTAGTAAGAAAAAATGATGTCTGAAGGGAGTGGGACCTGGCTGTCATACAGGTTTATTGCTTGCCAGTGTATAATTTTCCTGTAATCAGCAGTATACCCCATTTTTATCAGAATACCTTCAGACATGGAAGTGAAATATTCTGTAACTTCACTTTTTGCACTGCTTTAACACCGAATGTTTTTAAACATTCTGCCTAATTTTTCAATGTTCATCAAAGCGGTCTTTGTTAAGTCAAAGCAACTAAACAACTCCAAACCAGCAAGGAAGGATAACAGGGAATAGAAGTTTGAATTTTATTGGAGGATTTGGGTATCAAATACTATTCTTATTTGGCGCATACAGCTAAAAATAGTCCACCTGGAAGCATTTATTCCAATATGGTGAATTGTAGAAATCGAAACGAACTCTCCTGCGCTCTAAGACCCAAAGGAGGTGGATAGATGAAACCAGAACTTGAAAAAATTCGACCACCTTTGCATATGGGGTTGTGCAGCTCCAAACACGGCTGGGGAAGCCCGACCAATACTGTGAAGCAAAGACAAAAAAGAAGCGCACCAACCTTGTGCATTACCTCAGTAAACCAATTTTATTGAATACAAAAATATACTCACAAACAAAGAAGTATTTCAAGCATGTCAGTTCTCAAAGGAACTATGGAATGGTAAGACCTGCGCGAGTCCCATCATAGGGGTGGACACTCAGGGATCAGCTGACGCGTTTCGAATGATGTTCCTTCATCAGAGCTTGAAGCTTGATGGGACTCACGCAGGTCTTACCATTCCATAGTTCCTTTGAGAACTGACATGCTTGAAATACTTCTTGTTTTGTGAGTATATTTTTGTATTCAATAAAATTGGTTTACTGAGTTAATACGCAAGGTTGGTGCGCTTCTTTTTTGCTTCACAAAATCGTAGAAATCACCTGCTGCTGATGCAGGAATATTCTTTTTGCTACATCTTAAACAAATGTGATCTAGAAAAAAAAAAAAAAAAAAAAGTTAACACCCGAGGCTTCTCAGGGCCAACAACCAAATTCAAGAGCTCAAGAACATCTAGAAAGTTTCCATGGGATTACAAAAAGCAGAGAAAGGGAATTTACACAATGGAAGTACACTTTTTTCCCTTCTACTGACACACTATAGAGCTGTGTGTGCTTATTTTAACTAGCTCACTGAATGCTTTGACTGGAATTGTTCTTTAATCCAATTGTAATTTTCAAAATATGCCATTTTCTTACCTTGTCAACAGCTTTCTTCACAATCTCCTTATATTCATCTTTTGTAATATCTTTATTTTGATAATATTGTTTTATAGCCCCTTTTACTTCTTGTGCTGCTCGTTCCTGAATTAGAATTTTCTAGAAAAAGGAAAAAAAAAAAAAAAAAAAATCATTTGCGCAATAAAACATACAAATTTAAAATATAAAAGGACAACCATTTACAAAAAAAAAGTAAACATTTCTTTAACCACTTGACAACCGGGCTATAGCCGAATGACAGCTACAGCACGGTTGTCCAGTTCTGGGGAGGGCATCATAGGATGTCCTCCCAGAACGAGCACTCCTGCACGATGACGTCCTCCCAAAACGTGCCCCCAGGAGGTGCGCACCCGGCGATCTCCGTGATCGCTGTGTCCTACGGATCACGTGCTGTGGTAAAAGGCCAATTACAGCGGCCTTTTACCACATGATCAGCTATATCCAATCACACAGCAGATCACCGGGTAAATGCAGTTGCCGGTTGCACTTTCCTCACGCTGTCACAGTGTGATGAAAGTACTGCCGATAACCGGCAATTGTCAGAAAAAAATATATCGGCACTGATTATCAGTGCCACCCACAAGTGCCCAGCAGTGCCACCGACAAGTGCTCAGCAGTGCCACCTGCCAGTCAGTGCAGCCAAGCAGTGCCGCCAGTCAGTGCAGCCAAGCAGTGCCGCCAGTCAGTGCAGCCAAGCAGTGCAGTCAGTGCAGCCAAGCAGTGCAGTGTGCAGCCAAGCAGTGCCGCCAGTCAGTGCAGCCAAGCAGTGCTGCCAGTCAGCAGCCAAGCAGTCATCAATGCACATCAGTGAAGGAGAAAAATTACCGTTTGCAAAATTTTATAACAGAAACAAAGAAAAAACGTTTTTTCTTCAAATGTTTTACTTTTTTTTTGTTTATAGCGCAAAAAATAATAAAAACACTCAGTGGCGATCAAATACCACCAAAAGAAAGCTGCATTTGTGTGAAAAAAATGATAAAAATTTTATATGGGTACAGTGTCGCATGATTGCATGATATGAGTCCCCATAGTATTCACTACTTCACCCAGCACACTAGAACTGGCAGAGCAAATGGACAGTCAGAACATGTATGTGTATTATATTATTCACCTCCCCGCTAATTGGGAACAGAACAACTAGTATGTTTTTTTTTTCCTCAGAAGTTGATCTTTCTACTTGCAATAAATTGTCAATAACCTTGACAGCTTTGGTGGCATAATGATCTAGCATAACTATAACGCTCAGAATTAAATTCAGAGCTAGGGATAAGATATCTTAAATCCAAGAACACTGCTCTGGTCCTGGCGTGAAAGTGGGGAAAATATATATACTTGTGGACACCCCCTAGTTTAATCCAGTAGGGCCCCCAACTTTGCCTTCTAAGTTTCATCCTGCCAGCCAAACTAGAGGAATTAATTTTTTGGAAGAATCATCTTTTTTGAAATGCAGGGAGAAGCAGTTGTAGTGAAAAGTGACAATGTGGTCCCTTTCAAGACATGGCTTGTAACCAGGAACAGTTACTCCATGTATATATCAAGAATGCAGCACTGCATTCTTGATATGTACGTTTTAAAGGATCTAGGGGTTTTTCCTTATGCAAGCTGCTTTTACTCGCTTGATCATTCAATAGTTACTCCACGTAACTTTAATATTTTTTTTTTCTTTAACTGAATTAGTTTTTAAATGTTTCCAAGAATTTATTTTCATTGCCATACTCCATTAATCTGTGATAATTCTGTTACAAGCAATTTAAAACTATAGTATATTTCAATTAACATATTTGTAGTGTAAATGTGTCTTTAGTGCACTTACAATTTGATTAACCCCTTCCCCCCACACTCCTTTACTCTCCGATGCTTGATATTCAATGAATTCACAAACATACATAGGACGGAATACAGAAAGAGGCATTCTTGTGCGAGTTTGGCAGAGAATATATAACAAGTGACAGTGCGAGGGGGGAGCTCAGTGTTAGTTAAAAGGTAACTACATTAAATAAAAGACATTGAAAGGGCATACAGTTACTACACAATATACGGGACTGAAACATGAAAATACCTTTTCTTTCTTGGAGCTATCTGCACTGGCTTCCACTGTTACAATTTCTTTCCAAGGAGCAGGCTTTACAGAAACGTAAGGGTTTTTGCCATGACTTGATGCTGGCACAATAGCAGGAGTTGGTGTAACTACTGGCCCAACTAGCCCTCCTGGGGCTACTGCTGGAGCAGGCAAAGGTGGTGCAGCAGAGTTATTACTTATGTGGGAAACGCTTGGATTAGCCTGCATTGAAAAGGTTAACAAATGGTTATTTCATAAACATTAAACACTATAAAATCAGTAAAATCAAACAGTTGATCAAAAGATTTTTCAACTTGAGCATCAAGGATTTTAACAAAACTAAAATTATACCAATGCATAGGAAGAAATTAAAGTTAACCTATTACGTTTCCATTGAATCACAACTGCAGTCAAAAACCAAATAGAATATTTAAAAATTCTTGCAATTTTATACAAAATTCAGCATTCTGTGAAGTGTGCAATCATTGACAAGCACTAGCAAGTCCTATAAATTAACAGAACAATCAAGAAAGCTACTCCCACTTGTGTCCTTAAAACGTTAGCATTTGCAAATGTCCTTAAACTGGACTGCGGTTATCACTTACTGTATTGGAATAATTTTCTACTGTACCCAGCCAAAACAGTGGTTACTATGATGTGTACATAATTAGCATGGCTGAAAAAAGACAAAAGTCCATCTTGTTCAACCATTAAAAAAAACAAAAAAAACCCCCCAAAAAAACAAACTTATAATCCTATACCCACAGTTGATCCAGAGGAAGGCAGAAAAACCCAGCAAAGCTTGATTCAATTTGCTCCTGCAGAGGAAAAAATTCCTTCCTGATCCCCAGAGAGGCAATTGGATATTCACTGGATCAACTTTACCTATAAATGTTAGTAACCAGTTATATTATGCGTATCCAAAAGGAATCCAGGCCTTTTTTAAAGCAATCCACTGAGCTGGTCAGAACCAACTCTTGAGGGAGTCTATTCCACATTTTCACGGCTCTTACTGTGAAGAAACCTTTCCGTATTTGGAGATTAAATCGTTTACCTCCAGACGTAAAGAGTGCCCCTTGTCCTCTGTGATGACCTCAGGGTGAATAACTACACCGAGTTCACTATATGAACCACTGATGTATTTATACATGTTGATCATATCCCCCCTTAATCTCCCCTTCTCAAGAGAGAATAAATTCAGCTCCTCTAATCTTTCCTCATAGCTGAGCTCCTCCATGCCTCTTATCAGTTTGGTTGTCCTTCTCTGTACTTTCTCCAGATCCCCAATGTTCTTTTTTGTGAATTGATGCCCAAAACTGAACTGCACATTCCAGATGAGGTCTTACTAATGATTTGTACAGGGGTAATATGATATCTCTCTCTGGAGTCTATACCTCTTAATACAAGAGATGATTTTGCTTGCTTTAGAAACCGCAGCTTGGCATTGCATGCCATTATTACGTTTATAATCTACCAGAACCCCCAGATCCTTCTCCACCATTGATTCCCCCAGTTGTACTCCCCCTTGTATGTACAGTGAGGAACAGAAGTATTTGAACACCCTGCGATTTTGCAAGTTCTCCCACTTAGAAATCATGGAGGGGTCTGCAATTCACACTAGGTGCATTCCCACTCAGAGACAGAATTAAAAAAAAAATTTCAGGAAATCACATTGTATGATTTTTTAAAGAATTTATTTGTCTTGCACTGCTGAACATAAGTATTTGAACACCTAAGAAATAGCAAGAATTCTGGCTCTCAAAGACCTATCACTGTGCCTTTAAAAAGTCCACCTCTACTCCACTCATTAATCTAACTTAGTAGCACCTGTCTGAGCTCTTTAAAGACACCTGTCCACCCCACAGTCAGATGCCAACTACTACCATGGGCAAGACTAAAGAGCTGTCAAAAGACACCACAGATAAAATTGTGGCCCTCCACAAGGCTGGAAAGGACTAAGGGGCAATTGCCAAGCAGCTTGGTGAAAATAGATCAACTGTTGGAGCAATTGTTAGAAAATGGAAGAGGCTAAAGATGACCGTCAGTATCCCTCGGACTGGGGCTCCATGCAAGATCTCACCTCGTGGGGTATCACTGATAAGAAAGATGAGGAATCAGAGTTCAAATACTTCTGTTCCTCACTGTATGATGCATGCATATTCTTAGCCCCCAAGTACATAACCTTACATTTAACAACATTAAACCTCATCTGCCACATAATTGCCCAATTAACCACTTCCCGACCGGCCGTTGCATATAAAACGGCCGGACGGTGGCAGTACAGGGTCGGGTGGCCGTTTATGAACGGCCTCCCCGCACCCTGCATGTGCGCGCTCCCTGGGAGCGCGCAGCACCGCGATCCGGTGCCCGCTGTGTCCTCCGGACACAGTGAAACACTGATCGTCGGACGGGACCTCTGTACGAGGTCCCGATCATGTGATCACTGATTGGCCAATCAGTGATCACATGCAAAGTAGTAAGCAAGATGTCACTTGTTACATCATTGCTTACTACGTGTGAAATCTGTGAATGATCAGAGGTCACATGGTACAAGCCTATTCACAACAGCCTTGTACCATGTGACAAGCTGTGACCAATCACAGCTCACTCTGTATTTCTCAATGAGTGCAGGAATGCACACAGAGAGAGAAAGAGAAATGATTGCTTTTACATCCTTTATGGGTGTAAAAGCAATCATTGTAAAAAAAAAAAAAAAAAATCTTCATCACCCCCCACAAGTAGTAGTGTCACCATGGTGACACTGTACTGCTAGGGTGACCGTATGTAAAAAATAAAAAATAATAAAAAAAAAAATAAAAAAAAAAAAATGTTTAAAAAATTATAATTTTTGGTTATAAACTAATTTGTTTTGGTTTGTTTTTTACTAAAAAGATAACGAAATACATTTTGGCAAAGATTTATGATGAAATATTATTTATTTGCAAAATTTTATAAAAAAAAAAAACACTTGTTCAAAATTTTTGGACTTTTTCATTTACATAGCAAAAAAAATAAAAATCCCAGCAGTGAATAAATACCACCAAAATAAAGCTTTATCTGTCGCAAAAATATGGTAAAAAATTAATTTGGGTACAGTGTTGCATGACTGCGCAATTGTCATTCAAAGTGTGATAGCGCTGAAAGCTGAAAATTGCCCTGGTCAGGAAGGGGGTAAAAGTGTCCGGTCTGGAAGTGGTTAAAACAGTTAATGGAGGTCGGCTTGTAAATTGAGACATCCTGTAAGGACGTTATTCCCTGCACAGCTTGGTGTCATCTGCAAAGACTGAAATGGGATTTTTAATCCCAGACCCTATATAGTTTATAAATATATTAAAAGGTAAGGGTCCCAACACTGAACCCTGGGGTACACCACTAACAGCCCTAGACCATTCAGAGTATGAATCATTAATCAATAGTCTATGAATACGAGCTTTTACCAGTTTTCACTCCATTTACATACTGGATTTCTTCAAGCCTGTAGACTTTACCTTACACATTAGCCGTGTGTGGGGAACTGTGTCAAGCGCTTTTGCAAAATCCAAGTATACCATGTCCATCACCACCCCTTTGTCCAAGGTTTTGCTTGCCTCATCATAAAAAAAAATCAGATTTTTTTGACAACTTCAGTCTTCCATGAATCCATGCTGTCTGTTGCTTAAACATTTCTTCCAGCAAGAACTCTTCTATGTGGTTTTTTATTAAACTCTCCAGTATCTTCCCAACCATAGATGTTAAATGAACAGGTCTATAATTACTTGGTAAAGATTTTGACCCCTTTTTAAACATAGGCACCACATTGGTCTTACGCCAATCCAGTGGTACTATGCCAGTCATTAAAGAGTCCCTAAAAATTAGAAACAATTGCTTTGAAATGACAGAGCTCAATTCTTTAAGGACCCGTGGGTGTATGCCATCCGGTCCAAGTGGTTTATTCACCTTTATTCTACCTAAATATTTCTGGATCATATCAGCTGTGAGCCAATGTGGATCATCTGGGGCTGTGTCAATACCATGCCCATTATGGACAAGAGCTCCCCCATGCTCCTTTGCATACACAGAGCTGAAGAAGGTATTATCAAATTTGCCTTCTCTTTACTATTAATATATTTGAAGAATTTTTGGAGTCTTGTCCTGCTATATTTTGCTATTTGATGTTAGTTTTCAATTTTTGCTGCCTTTATTTTATTTTAGAATATTCTGTTATATTCTTTGTAATTTTTAAACGATAGCGTTCCCTCATTTTTATATTCAATAAAAGCTCTTTTCTTATTATTTATAGCTTTTTTTTTTTTTTTTTTTTTTTTTACTTGGGCCATAAGCCACATAGGTTTGATTTTTAGCCCTTTAAACTTGTTGCCCATGGGAATATATTTTGCCGTATGTTCGCATACAGTCTTTTTGAAGAACTCCCATTTCTGTGTTGTGTTCATCGATGCCAATATTCCCACCCAGTCCAAGTCTTGAAGAGCAGCTCTCAGCCTTGGAAAATTAGTTCTCTTGTTCATATATTTTATTGACATTTTAACAGGGGTGAAAAGATAATGGTAACAGACATTTCACAGATGTGAAAACATAATTATTGGCAAATACGGAAGAGATGTCATTACAAAGAAGGGGGGAGGAAGGAGGTATTGGTAAAACAATATGATATTTCACATGACGTAGAAGAAATAATAGCTATAGACAAAAATATTTAAATGAAAATATGTTAATTGAGTTTGACAATGGAAGGACATTCTCCCCAAAGCTACTTGGATATGTTAGGAAGGTCAGAAGGAAAGCGGGGGAGTGTAGGAAGAGGTAGGTGACTCCACAATTGGTAATAGTGTATGGGGTAGTTTGTGAGATCAGTAGGGGATGATCCCAGAATAGTGTAAAGTGGTTGTTTTTTTTTTTTTTTTTCAAGGTTAAGAAGTGAATCGTCAAAGTTAGGTGGGAGGAAAAACTCCACCCAAGGGTTCCAAACATTTAAAAATTTAGGGATAGTATCTAGGATTGTAGCTTCCACTTTCGCATGAATCATGGCCCGAGTGACTCTTCTTAACAATTGCAATGCTTAAGGAAGGAGATTTCCAAGATTTGGCTATGACCTGCTTGGCTGCAGTGGTAACTTGTAGAAGTTTAAATTGTGAATTGGTAACACCGGGGGGGGGGGGGTGCCTAAATTAAGTAAAGCTATGACTGGGTTTGGCTGGAGCGTATTTGCGCTAAGTTTGGATAGC